TTTTGGGAAAATTGGCATTTTATTACCTCCTGTTAAGTTCCTATGCAAGTGTCATTTTATTTTACATCAAATCAATTTATAGCTTTGACTTTTAAATTTAGTTGAGCCAAATAAATTAGCACATGCCACATCTGATTTCTCAAGTCTTGCTCTACTTCTCCTCATAGTCTGCCATGTAAATCAAAGTGTTCTGCAACAACATTTGTATGCTCAGTAGATGCAATCTTATTTCTTTTTGGTAAAATATATTCTTCTGCTGAATCTGTCATTCATTAAAAATCCAAGTTTTTAATATTTTTTGTATGCAAAGCGAAACAAAATCTTAACTGTTTTATCAGTCTGGATAGAATTACTGAATGTTCAATAGCCTGAAGATGAGCAATTAGAATTTACAAGTAATTAATGTCTTAATCACCTTGAAATTTGGTTAGAATTTAATACTTAAAATTAAAAATGGAATATCATTCCTTTAATCAACTAGTATGTGTTGTGCTATTTTTATTTCACTATTGCTTCATGAATAATTTAAGCTTTTCAGGAGCAGGATAAATGATAGGCCATACATAACATACTTGGTCAGAAAAAATACCATCTAGAAGTGACCTGTACCAAAATGATTTTAAGCACCATACTGGTAAAGAGTGTGACCCCCGGACTGGTGTGTGTGTGTGTATAATATATATAATACAAAAAGGGGAATTTATAAAAAAAAACTGGAGCAGCTGTGCATGACAACCAATCAGCTTCTCTCTTTCATTTTCAAATCTTAACTAAACAAACTGAAGACAGAACCGCAAAATATGAACAAAGGGCATTGATTCTAGCGGTAGCATACACCTTTATTATAGTTAAATATTTGTTGCCCTGCACATTGTAAAAAACTATTTTATTCTGGAGTTCTGCTTTAAATAATCCTAGCATAGCAAAATTTCCCTGTTGCTGTTCCTCTATCCCTCCTGAACAGCTGTTGGCGTTAACTAGGCTTTCCAGCGGGTTCCTCCACTATTTTATCCTATAGTTCTGCATTTTACCCTGTAAAATCCAGTCATTGTTCTGTGGTTACCAGTGCATGTTTTCATCACTCACAGGCCAGTGCAGAGGTCTCCCTCATATTATTATTCTCTTCTGGTCTTAGAATTGAATGTTAGGGAATGTTACATGCCTGGTGAAAGACAACTTGTATATTAGAAAGTGACATTTTGCACATATTAAAAACATAACAGAAACATAACCTAATATCCATGGCTTTTTCACAAATTCTGATACCTTTGCACAGTTAATTTTTTAAAACTAGAATCCTAAACATATAAACACATGGTCAACATGGGGTAGTGTTGTGGGCTTGAAAGTGTCATCATCACAGAATTTCTTGTAGGAAGTGTGTACTCCTATCATAAAAAGGAATTTAAAAAAGCCATAGTGCATGCTGCCTTATTTGCTCAATGAAAAGGTTTGCTGCTCTTTCTGATTTCTGATCACAGATTTTTTTTTATATTTTTTTTTTACATTAAAGTCACTGTCTATTAAAAAGTTTCCATGAGTATTTCTTAATACCACGAACAGGCCGCACTATCCAGAAAATTCCAATACTTCAGACTTTATTGATATTCACAGCAAATCCAGTATAACAGTGAATAAAAGTGTATAAAGCAACAAATGCCAGCACTGAACACCCCCAACCAACTACAACCTCTCATGTTTCACCCGTAGGCTTATTCATATTTCCTCTATGAATAAGCCTACGGGTGAAACATGTGAGAAGTCGTTGGTTGGGGGTGTGCAGTGCTGGCATTTGTTGCTTTATACACTTTTTTCACTGTTATACTGGATTTGCTTTGAATTTCAATAAAGTCTGAAGTATTGGAATTCTCTGGATAGTGCGGTCTGTTTCGTATACTACTACATTCCAAGGTGGAGATGCACCTATTGGAACAGCACCTGGGGAGTCCTGATGGTGGCTAAGGAATTGGAGCGGTGAGATTTCCTTTGGCTCTACATGTGTTATTTAGATGTTCAACATGTATGGCAGACTAGGACTACATTGAACGTCTGTGTACAATTTGCTAATTCACAACCACAATACAAGTGTAGCGAAATTATCCCTGCCCTATGTTTATGTTCTTTCATAAATTAGACCCAATATCTACCCTTTTGGGAACTTCAATTAAAGAATTAAATACGACTATGTTAGCACAAGATAAATGTATAATCAAGGTGTTTAGCAGTAGGATGTATAAACCTTGTTTCTGAACATTCCCAAACATTTACAAATTTCAGGAACTGATAATCATAATGTTAAACAATATACTGGAAAATATGTGACCCTCAGTTCTAACTTCTTTAAGCAAAACGATTCATGTTTTTTTTCTTGTGTGCCTATTTTAGGGACTATATATATAATAGTCCCTAAAATAGACTAAAATAGTCCCTAGAATATATAACCACTATTTCTCTATTATTCACTTTTTATACAACATAAAGGATAGTGGACAATGCACCGTTTTTTGTTTTTACCTTCCCTATCCTTTCCCTTTTTGAAATTACACTTTAAACTAATGATAAATATAAATGTTCTACTTTTGTAGTAGCATCCTTTCAGTGTATATAGAAACTTCCTCAATGGGAACTCATTAGCGATAAAATACTTGAATTGAAAAAGCCTAATAAAAACAAAGTTGACAAAGTGTCTTTTCTGATGATATACACCATGCCAATGGTTCCATTCACCTAATGAGTGAGAATGAAACAAGCATTCTTGAATTGGGGTCAGAGCTGGGCCCCAGGAACCATGGGCCTGCTCATGATTGTTACTTCTGCTTCCCCTGTTGCTATGCTACCTGCCATCTCCTGCCTTGTTTAATCTGTTCTGTTGACCTGCTTTTTATTTATCAATGCAGTTTTGTAGACCAGTTAGTTCACTAACTGAACACATGCTTATCTCTGTTGTTGAGTTTACATAGAAATTGCTTTCCCAGCTGCTAAAAAGATAGCACATATTTCACCTATCTGTGGTATCTCTTATAGAACCTGTTTGTATTATGCCTATATAGTTACTTTTTAACTGTACAATGTGCTGGTGTAAGTGACAATGCATACTGATTTTAATGTATTTGGAGTTCTGTTTTTATATCACAACTCTTTTTGTGTAGTGTTAAAATTAGATTTAAAAGATTTTGTTGTAAGTTATATGGTTATGCTACAATCCAAATAGAAGGACATTTTAATGTAGGCATTCTATCTAAAACCACCTTTTTTTAGCATTGTTAACATATTTGAAAAATATGCTGACCTTTTTATTTACTTAATGTACTAGATTGCTGGTTAGGAAATTATTTTTCACACTTGTCTTTGAATATATTCTACAGTAAACAAATAATTATTTTAACTTTGCTGCTTTAAAGTTAAAATAGTTATTGAGTATTCCCCTCATAAGATTTTGTTTAACTTCATTCTTATCTTCTAAATGTAATTGTTGTATAAAAAAATATTTCTATATAAAGGGATTCAGATATATTTTACAAATATCACCACCAATTTGTTGAAAAGTAATTACTTGGGATACTTTAGTAATATTTATTTGTGCTTTCTAAACTGTAAGATTAGTACCACTAGCAAGAACTGTTTTTAATACAAGTGGTGCAGCTGTCTCCTAGTAAAACATGCCCATATTCAGGTATGGCTGCCTTGTGGCAGGTATTATTAGCTAAGAATGCTCATACAATAAATTGCGTAAATATTCACTTCAATTGTCCAGTCATGTGCAGACGGAATAAGTAAACATGGCTTTTCACATGATTAGATAATTGAAGTGAATCTTCACACAATTTATTGTGGGAACATTTTCTACCCCTTTGGTAAATCATCTTAAAGTATCTGCTACTTTGCTGATGATAGGTCCATATTGGATCCATTCCAACATTTCAAAAGCTGTGCGTTGAAAAGGGGTAGAGGGATGGTAGTACATTTTTCATGGTACAGTCCATGGTAAGGCAGGAATGAATGGAAGAGTGGAGGTTCTTGGAAAAGACTATCCAATACTGTAGAATTGTAGTAACATGGTAACTTTCAATAGTAGAGGTAATACTTAAGTGCTGCAGATCTGCTACACCTGTAGTTTGGTAGAGTGGATTTTAGTTTGCTAATCTGATACTTACAATTTGTCAACTGTATGTTGAACTAGTAAAGGGGTTTTGGATCTTTTACTAAAATATTATTGGGGCCTATACTTAGTCCAATAACAAAGACATTTACATTCATAAGAAAGCAGGATTCCATGATACATTTGTTGATTTCTTAGAGGGGTATATTCCACACTCCACTTGATATTATTGTTCTATTAAGGTACAGTACTTATTAAATGCTGCCCTTATAACGTATTCTAACATTTTTTATGTTAATGACATCATATAGGGTAAGGTTCCCTGCTGTGAGATATTGCACTTGCTCTCTACATGAACTGTTAAGGGTCCACAAGGACTTCTTCATCGTTGTCTAAGCAGATCAATACATCCAGTGGACAGGAATTCCACAGTAAATATCTTGCTGCAAACCTGAGTCAAAACAATGTTTGGGCTAATTGACTTTATTTAAAAGGTGAAATAGGAATCCTTTTAACTGTGTTGGATTAAAAAATGTAAAGAGCAACTCCAGAAAAAATACAAATTGACCTTGCAGTCGTCACCCTTGCCCTGCAAGAGTTAACTGCTCATTTTGGTTTAGGGTCTGGGTCTAAAATAAAAAATAAATACTCGCCTGATCCTTGGTCCCATCTGACTGCCAGACCGCAGGATTGAGGTTCGGGTGAGTATATCTTCTTTATTCGGTCCCCTATAGAAAAATGAGTGGGGGTATCCCCATGGCAAGTGTTAATTTTTTCTGCTTGAAGTGCTTCTTTAAACAAGATATCTGTTTAGTGCATACTACATTTATGATTATGTAATGTGGATTTTTATTTTAGCAATTTACATTTATCATATAACACTTTATCTGTCCTTTCTTAGGATCAAAGGCAAGCTCAGATGTCACAATATCGGCAGGACCACTCATTAATTATGAGATCTCTGGTACATATGTCTGATGTGGCACGGGCAGGAATGATGTCTGCAAGTCAGCTGACTACCATAAACCAGTCCCAGCTCAGTGCCCAGTTAGGACTAAACATTGGTGCACCTACCATTTCTCATACTTCACCCTCTCCACCAGCCAGCAAGTCTGCAACACCATCTCCTTCCAGCTCCATCAATGAAGAGGATGCAGATGATACAAGCAGGGTGTGTATTTGAAATTTTAACACATTTTAATGAATAGTTTATTGTGAACTACATACTTTTTATTATTTTCAAGCCAAATGGTGTTAAAACATTTTGTTTTAGACAGGATATGGAAAAGGTAGTTCCTCGGCTAGTTTTTAAGTCAGTGTTCCTATTGGGGAGACTTCAGCTCCCTTCCAGTCATGATAGGAAATTATGGGAAATCTCTCCAAAGGGGCCACAGGCAAAAACAAATTTGTTAGCAGAGTGGGGAAGGGTTCAAATTTCTTATTTCTTTATGGTTCTTCTCCTGGTGTGACAGAGAAATAAACACCTAACATAAATTTTCATTATTTCCCACTCTATTGAAAACTAATAAATAAAAAATATTAGAGATTTTGGGGTTGCAAGGGGTGGAGAGGCACACCAGCTTTTTGGCTTCAAGATGGTATTTGCTTTCATAACGCAACTGGACTGCTGAGATCCATGGAACCAAATACAACAATAATCCGTGTGTAGGCAAACTATGGTCCCTGCTATAACCAAAAAACTAATTTTATGTGACACATCTTTTGAATGGAAAATTGTAATGCAGGCTACAATTACTAACCTCTGACTGAAAATACTTGTTGCATGGCTTCCGTAGAAACAAAGAAACAATTATGAACTATTGGGTGTCCAGGCCGAACCACTATCTAGATGTGGCCCAGCATGTGCTAGAGATCCTAGCCTACCCTTCTTTGAATATCATGTCAGAGAGGGCCTTAAATGCAGCAAAGTGAATTGTGAGAAGTTGTATTATAATAGCTTGGGTTGATAGTGTGCATTGTTTTGTGGTGCAGTGTTTTTCATTTCTTTGGTGGGTGGATTCAAATTATGTGCTGTGCTGGGACAATAAAGGCAGCTCTTGACAAGTAGCAACTGCGGTCTACTTAACACAAAGGTAAAAACTAGAAGTTAAATAGAAACAATAATTACAATGATATAGAAAAAAACAAATGAATTACAGATTATAAATAAAACTTAGTTGATTATTTTAGGGACAATAGCCAAAAATATTGTGCAGCCTCACTTCACATTATGTAAGCATGTTTAACAAGATCATAAGGGGGAAACCAGCCAGGTTTATATAAAACATTGAAATTAAAATGTAAAAATTGAAAAATATGGGATAGACTTTATGCCCACTTCGTAAGTAGCCTTAGTAGGCCGCAGTTTAAAAGGGAGATACCAGGCAGTTTTTATTGAAAAAATATAAATTGGAGTGTATTATTTCACTGAAAAATTATTGAAAAAATGTTTAGTAATTTCATAAAATGTTATGTGTAGGCAGTTTGTTAGGAAGACAACCAGCAGGTGTATAATCAAGAAATAAAAAAAACCGTAGTGTTTAGTTCCTAATAAAAGACTGTGCATGGAATCATTAGAATATGTTTGTCTTTTTAAGGGCCTGTCTTTTAATAAAATAACTTTTAATAGGTTCTGTTTTCAACGGGACCCACACAAGCCAGCTATTTATAAAATAAAAACCTTATCATTAGATTATATTCTATTTGAAAAAAAAAGCTACCAAAACATTGCAGTGAGTGCACACACAGTGTTCAAACTGTCACACTTTGACTAGGCCTCTTCATCAACACGACTCAAACTAGCCAGCTTTTATTTAAATAAATTGCTTTATAGTGTATGTATTTCATTGTAAAAAGCCCATAACATACTGTACTCAGTATGTGCACAGTCTTTAAACACTTTACCTAGGCTGCTTTGTTAAGAGGGCTCAAACCAGGAATCCTTTAATTAAAAGAAAAGAGCTAGTATTTATTTCAATATAACACCTCTCAAAATATTGTAGTGCCTACATGCACAGTGTTTAATCATATGTACTAGGCCCAGTTTTTATTAGGATACTCACTAGCCATTTAAAAATCAAGAAATCAATATTAGAGTGTAATTTGTTTGCAGGAAAAAAAATATATATATATTTTATATATTGCCTGCGTGCACAGTATTTAATCACATACACTATATTTTTAACAGAACCCCCACTAACCAGATTATAATCTAGAAATCAACAGAGTATAATTATTTCTTAGAAAAAAGCTCCCAAAATATTGTAGTACCTATGTGCACATTATTTAATCACTTGTACCTAGCCCCATTTTGAACAGAACCCCCACCAAAATAAAGTAATTAACAGAGTGTAATTGCTGAAAAATATCCCCCAAAATATTGTAGTATCTACGTGTTTAAACAGTTTGATTAGGCCAATTTGCCATCAGCCATTTTGTAATGAAGAAATCAACATTACAGTGTATTTATTTCACAGAAAAAGCCCCAAAATATGCTAGTAAGTGCATACAGATTCCTAAAAAAAACTCTCACTAAGAGCTAAACCTTGTTTCCCCATTTTTTTAAAAACCTAACTAAAAAGACACATGAAAATGTGAAGAAAAAGACCCTCCAGAAGAAAAAAGAAAATGGGGGGGGGGGCAGCAGCCAAAGCAATGAAGTTGTTTATACACAAAAATGGTGCAATTCCCTGGAAGTGTGCAAAATACAGTGAGGGTAACTTATCAAAACTGGAGCAGACAAAGTCTGGAGCAGCAGTGCATGGCAACCAATCCGCTTCTCTGTTTCATTTTCAAATCTTAACTGAACAAACTGAAGAGAGAAGCTGATTGTTTGCCATGGAATTCTGTCTGCTCCAGTTTTGATAAATCCCCCCCCAATGTGTCTATGACTCAATGTAAATATGGATGTTTTCATTATCAGCATCTAACTATTGTATATCGCAATGATAGTATGCCAGTGACTCAATGGAAATATAGACTGACATTTTCAGTAATTAGCACCAGCATCTAACTCTACCTGGAAACACTCCAAAACATCTCGTTGATCTGGTATGCCACTTACAACACAGTGTTCATGTGTTAGTGACTCCATGCAAATATAGGTAGACCTTTTCAGCAATTAGCACCTAGCTTTCCCTGCAGTGTGTGATCTTTCCATAACTACTCCATGCCTCCTCTTAAACACTAAACAAATACTGCTGGGAACCTGACTTGTATAGGGAGGAGGGCTGGCACATAAGAAACCCCCCATGATTGGCCTTTCTAAACCACCTAACTAAAGTTTAGAGGCCAGAAAGTGCATTACTGGTAAATAGTTGCTATGGGCATGTACAGTTTAATAGTACCGTGAACAATGGGTTCAGGTCAAACTCATGGTGTAACCGAACCCAAAGTTTTTTCTTGCTAATAGCTTTTAAAAGACAGACAACAATTCCACATTGTAAGGTATAATTTAGGAGACACAATGGGTTTGGAGAAAAAAAAGAAGCAAATAGAATTTAACATGCTATTTAAATTGGAAATATGAATTTAAGTCCAATGAATGATTGTTTTATTCATTTATTTATTTATTTAACCATTAGACTATTGGTGAAAAAAGAGCCGCTCCAGATTCTGGAAAGAAACCCAAGACCCCAAAGAAGAAGAAAAAGAAAGACCCCAATGAACCCCAGAAGCCAGTGTCTGCATATGCTCTCTTTTTTAGGGACACCCAAGCAGCAATCAAAGGTCAAAACCCCAATGCTACTTTTGGCGAAGTGTCGAAAATTGTGGCTTCTATGTGGGATGGCCTTGGAGAAGAGCAAAAACAGGTATAGTGGAATATCGATGTTAATAGTACCGGTAGCCCTCAATTTATACCAGGAAGGAATAGTTGAACACAGAAACCGATGTAAATTGAAACCTACAATATAATGTGAGAACGTTCAAGGCCTCTCTCAAAAATAGCATACATGAAATTATAGTTAAAGCTTTGAAATTAATGTTATGAATGCTAAACAGTATTATACACAGTATAAAATAATCACACAACACAGTATGCATCAGCAAACTAAGTTTAATGTTCAGAAAATGGAGAGAGAATGAGAGGAGACAGCCACTGAAGAACCGCCATATGTCTAAGTGTACCCCTGTGCCACCAGCATGTCTCTATGTGCCTGTGTACACTATCTCCATGTCTATCCCTGTGCCACCAGCACACCTCCAAGTGTGCCCCTGTGTCCCCAGTGCGGCTCTAAGCACCTCCATATCTCCAAGTGTACCTCTGTGTGCCTCAGAGTCTGTAAGTGTCTACAGTTATCTCACTTAGAAGAGCCCCTTCCCGAGCCATCAGAGAGGTCCTCTGCGTATATTTCCGTGGCTGAGGTATGCAGAGGAAGGATATGCTTGACAGCGCAAACTCAGCAGTGGTTTCAATGGTGGTCGCATGACCACCTGAAAAGGGTGTTATTTTGAAACGGTGCAAACTGGGGGGTTACCTGTATAAATAATTTTGAAAAGTAGCTTTCATGGCTAATAATAGTAAAACTCTTCCTTTAATTTGACAGCTGCTACAGTAAACCCTAAACCACCTTTTATATATATTTTTTTTTTTTTTTTATTCTGCTGGTCCAGGATTATATGATTATCTCTGATCTTATAATTTTATTGTAACCCTTGTACATTCCTATGCACATGGGCGACGTCAGAAGCCCCCACAAAACAACAAGGCCATTAGATTAGCAGATATTGCTGTAGAAAGTGAATTTACTGTATAGTAGAAACATAATGCATATCTGATCTGATATATTGTGTAGGCTAACTGTGGTTATTGTTAAGTTTTTCTGAGCCCCCTAGTAAAATAGATTTATAAGATCCTGCCACTAGGTCAGTTAACTTTCCACTTTCTTTAACATGATGACAGTTTGCTTTGCAATGTTGTCACCTTGTAGAGAGGGTGGACAGCGTAGATTTGCATGGATTTTAAGTGAAAAACAAATTAAAGCTAAAATTTTTAAGCAATTCTAGCACATTTTGTTTTCTTTTGGGAAAAAAGGTTTAACCATTTTGCTGCCAAGCCCTGCAGAGCGCTTTTAAACCTTAGCTGGCCACACTATTTTTGCAATTTATTCCTTTTTTTTTTTTTCAACTGCCGCTTTTAAAGTTTGTAAAAGACCCCCTAAACCATATATTTTCTGAAAGCACAGGCCCGGTAGAATAAAAAAAGATGGTGCTACTAATTTTGTAGGTGCTGTAATCATTTTGCAAATGTTTATCAAATTAATATTAAACCAATAAAATACACAAATAAATTGATAAAAGCACATAAAATCAGTATAATTACAATTGCAAAAAATACTTTTACAACTAAATCTAAAAGATAAAACTGTATTGAGTTAATAACAAATATTTGAAAATTTAGATTGCGTCTTTTTGCAAAACTGTAAAAAAAAAATGAAGGAACACAAAACTGTAAATAAGCAACGTATGTTAAAAATTGATTGCGCACTGGGTTTGTGTGTGTGATGTGATAAAATGATGCAGGCGTACATTCAATTGCAGCACTGATCACAATGCATGGCAATGCATCGTAACGTATTGTCATGTGCTACCACACAGATAAATTAATGTTATTTTAAAAAGAAATAAAATCAAGCACTGTGGTGCGTTTTATCAATGCACAGCAGCACATGTGCATGGCGTACACCACAATATGGTGCACACTGTTGGACATGTATAATATGTCTGTGTGAGGATGGGTTATTTATTTTTATTTATTTTTACTGTTGGGGGGGCTTCAGGGAACTATCAGTGGTCTAAACAGACCCCTGACATTTCCCCTTTGAAAAAGAAATTGAGTACACATCGTGCTCAACCTCTTTTTTTTCTGGAGCCTCTGTTCTGAATGAATGGAAAGCACTCACTAAATATTTACTATCTCCAGTTTTTGAATGAATGGGAGGTCTTTGTACTATCAACCAGTTATGAATCGGTAGAAGCTTTTGTACTGAGCTGCTTCTACCCATTCAGAAACTCGCTTCCTGTTCATTCATAAACGGGAACACACAGTACTATGTGTCTCCAGTTGTTTACAGCGTTCACCCCAGTGTTTGTTCTGCACACAGAGAATTGGTAAATATTGCAGATATTTACAGATCCTCTGCTCGGCCTCGCACAGATCACAGAGCCGCTCTGCCATCCTGATGACAGCTGCAGCTCCTCTTTTCCCGCTCGTCCATCCTGACAAGTGGGTCTCGTGAGCTTATAACAGAAGGGTGAAAGCCACTGACATAAGGCTTGCTGACACGGCCATAAGCTTTACGTCGCCGGCAGTGAAAGGGTTAAACAATATGAATGAAAGCTGATTGTTAGCACCCATATCAGCACAGGTTCCCCTTTCAACTACAATGCCCTACAATTTGAATGAGCTGCAAAACCTGATACCCACTTAAAAGTAAACACATTTTACTAACGCAATCTAAAAATAAATCCTTGCAGTGGGGCTACCCCACAGGCGTTAACTGCTCATTTTGGTCTAGGTACTAAAAAAAGAAAATCTACTCACCTGATCCTCAGTCCTGCAGAGGTGACCCCTCTGATCTGGCAGTTTAATGTCCCTCGGCGTGCTCTTGTCTAATGCAGCTGCATTAGACGTGATGACATCATGGGTCCTTAGACAACAGGAGAATCTGCTGTGTGCACTGGTCTAGCAGCCAATCTGGACTTAGGCCTCATTCACACGACAATCAGCCGGCACGTACAGCTGCGTGCAAGGCCATATCTGGCAGCTCCCGGGAAGGACAGGTGCTGCGTGTGATTTAGTATGCAACCCCCATCCTTCTCTATGGGAGTATGCGGCCGTACGCTCACAAGTGCAGGGCCGTATGGGTGCGTGTTTCCTTGCTCTGACGCAGACAGGATCCATCCTGTCAGCGTACGAGTACGCTCACCCGCACAGACGTGCAGGGCTGGTGAGCATAGGGGCGTGTGCAGCTGCGTAGTCCCATAGAGAAGGACGGGGTCTGCGTACTAATCACACGTAGCACCTCTCCTTTTCGGGAGCTACCCAATACGGCCCTGCACGGAGCTGTACGTGTTGGCCGATTTACAGTGTGAATGAGCCCGTAGGATCAGGCGAGAATAATTTTCTTATTTTAGCCCCTAGACCAAAACAAGCAGTTAACCCTTGCAGTGCGGGGGTAGCCCCCCCTGCAAGGGTTCATTTTTCAAAAGCATTAATTAGGGATGTCCCGATGCCACTTTTTCAGGCCCAAGTACAAGTACTTCCCCTCATGTACTTGCCGATACCAATTACCAATACTTTTTCTTAAAGGGACAGGAACTTTAAATGATCCATAATACAACTACATGTTCTCTACTATGGATCATGATTTAACATATTCATGTTAGCAGCGGAGAATTGTAACTCTATTGCTGGAGTGTAGCGGAGGTGTGTGCTGTATATATGTACTACATATACATTACAAACGTCCAGTACATTATAGCAATAGATTTACAGCCAGCCCCGTCCCAGCTTCCCTCACTCACAGTTTCACTCCGATCCCTGTTGCCTCACGCGGTCCCTCTCGTAGTCGGCGCTGGGCAGGATCGCTTCATCGCATCTCGGTGCTCAGCTTGTGGGAGGCGCTCACAATTCTGCCCTGCTAACATGAATGGGTTAAATCATGATCCGCAGTACATATGTCCTGTACACATGATCCGCAGTACATATGTCCTGTACACTGCAGCAATAGAGTTACAATTATCCCCTGCTAACATGCATCGGTTAAATCATGATCCATAGTACATAACATGTAGTTGTACTACAGATCATTTAACCCATTCATGTTAGCAGGGGATCTTTGTAAATCTATTACTGCAGTGTACGGGACATGTGTACAAATATAATGCACTGCAGCAATAGATATACAATTCTGCACTGCTAACATGAATGGGTTAAATGATCCATAGTACAACTACATATGCCCCGGGGCATTTTGACAAGTACTTGTCAAAATGCCTTGTATCGGGCCCGATTCCGATGCTAGCATCGGTATCGGGACATCCCTAGCATTAATGAACATATGCAATTTTCATAAGAAGAGAAAGGCTACTTTGCTGACACATCTGATGAAAGAGATACATACGAGTAAATATAATTTGCATTTGTAAATGTACTTAATCCAGGGCCGTCTTTAACGCAGGGCAAAAGGGGCAGTCGCCCAGGGCCCAATCATTGTTGTAGGCCCAAAGCAGCTGCCCCTTCAGCCCACATAAGATAAACACATGCAGGGCTGGCAGCCTCACCTGTGTAGGCAATGGAGCTTGCATCAGCCCTGCCCCCTGTCTGTGTACACAGCATCGGTGCTCTACAGACAGGAGGCTACATACAGCAGCATAGACGTGGCTCTGGGCTCCGCCCACTATCAACTCGGCCCCGCCTCCCGCTCTCCGTACTCTGCTCTCCTGTGTTGTCTGGGGCCCTGCTGGGAGCCCACACCGTGCCCTGAGATGTCACCCCCACTGTGTCCCCTCCTGCCTCCCCTCTCTGGACCTTCACACCAAGTAAGTGCCCAAATATGCCACAGTTTATGTATGCAACAGATACATATACTGTGTGCAACACATACATATGCAGAGCAGGTTCCTGACATTGCTTCTCTAGTTCAATCTATGCTGCTGAAGCAGGATTTAGAGTTTTTAAAGAAAATGTCATTATCAAGTTCTATGTATGGCTGCAGCAAAGCTTCCTGTACTCTCAATACTAGGGATGCACCTATAGATAATATTACAAACAGGATCTGTGCTATGGAACAACAAACCCCTAAGCTGCCATGCTAAAAAACTGTATATAACACCTAAAAAACGTGAATTATAAACATGCCCTGCGCAATAGAGATCAACTACATGTGCAATCTAATGATAATCTACATGTGAAGTAAATACAGAAATATATAAATACGCAGAATCACCCTATGGTGAATAAATACATATTAGGTATTTTTTCACTATATATTGTATTTATTCACCATAGGGTGATTCTGCATACTTATATATTTATTTCACATGTAGATTATTATTAGATTGCATGTGTAGTTGGTCTATAAAATGCATTGCACGTTTATAATTCACTAGGGATGCTACTGCACCGATACCGATACCTGCACAGCCCGTCTGAGACCCCGTACACAGCCCTCCTGAGATCTCGTATAGTCCTCCTGAGACTCCGCACAGCTTCCCACCAGGATATTGAATATCCTGTCTGTCTCTCATTGCTCTTTCTCCTGGCTGTCTCTCACTCTATTCCCTGGCTGTCGCTCCTGCCTCTCTCCTCTCGGCCTCTCCTCTTTCTCTCCTGTCTGTCTCTCCTCGCTCTCTCTCCTAACTGTCTCTATTTGCTCTCTCCCCTAGCTCTCTCTCCTGGCTTCCTCTCCTCTTCTTCTCTCTCTCCCGCCTGTCTCTTCTCGCTCTCTCTCCTGGCTGTCTTTCCTCAATCTTTCTCCTGGCTGTCTCTTCTCACTCTATTCTGGCTGTCTCTCCCTGCTCTCTCCCCTGGCTCTCCTCCCTGGTTGTCTCTTTTCTCTCTCTCCCCTGGCTGTCTCTCTTCACTCTCTCTCCTGGCTGTCTCGCCTCATTCTCTTCTCTCTCCCCTTGCTGTCTCTCCCTGCTCTCTCCCCTGGCTGTCTCTCCTCGTTCTCTCCCATGTCTGTCTCTCCTCCCTCTCTCCTCGTTCTCTTTTGTTTATTCTAAAAAATGTTGCAGTGTGGTGTTAGACTGTTCGGGATTCGCTTGAAGAAAAGGCAGCAACCCTTGCAGCACCATTCTGTTGACTATGAGTTCGGCATCACATAGTGTTGCCCCCACCTCTTCTGTATGCTGCTGTTAGGGGGGGGGGGGGGGGGCCCAAGAAATTGTTTGCCCAGGGCCCAATCAGTATAAAAGACGGCCCTGACTTAATCTAAAGCATTATTAAAATAGAATAACTGCATAGTACCTTTTTTACACTATATACAATTTTTATGACATTTCTAATTTGTAGTGGCAAAAAAAAAAAAGATATCAAGTAGCATTTAAGGTATTCACATTTAGCCATTCTCATCATTAGAATTGTGGTCTGATTATACCTTGTAATTGCAAGGCTATGATGTTTTTTAAATTATTATTTAGAGTCTGCTAATGTTACATGAAGGCTTTGTGTACAAGTTTTTAGGACATCTGCTCTCCACCAGACTTCCCCTGTTATGATTTAATGATGGTGATTAATCAAGCCTATTTGTAGCGGTGTGCAACAACTGGGTCTTTGTTGAATGGCACAAAAAAATACTTAGCAAGGGCCAGACTTCTACAGGCAGGAAGTCAGTGAAAACATAATCACACTCATTCACAGAACTGGTTGAATTATCAAAGGATAGCTCTAGTTTTGTACTTGTCTGGCTGATTTTTTTTTTATGAGCTTTTGTAATAGTATAACCCGTACATATTTCACAGACTAATGTGAATGTGCAGTAATTTCACAATATTCTTTCAATGTGCATTGTTTAACGTTTCCATTATTGATCCTTAGTGTATTGACTACATTGTAGAGATAATATATAATTCTATGTGATCTAAAATATCTTCTACATATTGCAGACTTTTTTGAGGAGCAGTTTGTGTACATTTCTAATGCTTTGTGCAATTTATAGCTATAGTATGCAGATTTAGGTATGAGTTAAACAACACTCTTCTGAGTGCCAACAGAAAATAAATCCCTCTGCTTCACATAGCAGCCAGGTCCTGTAATGTATCTAAATATAACTGAAATTTAGAAAACCTAAACATATTTTATATATGACTAGATTGAACATAGGTCCCCCAATGTCCTTATGACCCTATAGATCTCCTCCTCGTCAGTCCTCATAGCTGGCGAAAGCTGCTGTACCAGCTGTTTAGGCAATAGATTGAACACATAAAATTTTATAAATACATTTTTTTTATTTCAGTTTTTAAAGGGTAAAGCTAATGTCGGGCATATTTACAGTAAATAATTAATATATATATGTTTTTAATGCAACCATTGTAAGTAACTGAATTTAACTTGGTATTCCCTTTTACAACAGCACCTAGATTGTTCCCAGCCCTTCCAAACCCTCTCCCAATCTAGTGTGCTGATAAAGAACATTAGGGGTGTCAATAAAGAAGAGTAAGTAGAATGATAGTAGAAAAATGCAACTTTGCCTGTGTAGGCAAAAATCCTAGCAGCGGCCCTGATTCCATTTGTGTGTGCAAAATATGCATTTACCACTAATGGGTCCTGAGGCAGAAAGTATCTGTATATGTTGAGCGTAGGACAGGATCCTAAATGGTAGGAGAGTATCAAATCTGCATACAAGGAGACTGATTTACTAAAGAAAATGAGTAAATCTTTGCTGAAAAAAAGTATGTAAAACTTAAAATATCCAATGTTACGTGAAAAACAAATTCTTGATTACTTTAAACATCCAATTATTTGCTGATGATTGTACAATTGAATATTCGCACATTTTTTTTTAAATATCAACATCTTTAGCAAATCAGCATCATTATGTCTGTTTTCACCATGCAGAAACATGTATTTTGCATTATCTTTTGAATTGATGTTGGCTTTTCCCTATTTTTAAGACTAAACGCATTAGTGACATAATATTGTTCTTTTTTTAGGTATATAAAAGGAAAACTGAAGCTGCTAAAAAAGAATATTTAAAAGCCCTTGCAGCCTATAGAGCAAGCCTTGTGTCTAAGGTAGGTAAAACACAAATATGTAAATGTATATTATTCCTGTACTAGTATGTATATGTATAGTATGCATTTACCAAAATGATTCCATTGGCAGCAAAACAAAAGAAATGCAGAAAAAAAACATGCCTTTTTTACCCAGCATGTAAGAGCCAGTAACATACTGAAGCTAACAATGCTAATGTGGTAGATGGCTTCTACAGTTTTGGTCATTTGGTTCCAAACAACCAGAATGTGATCAGTTCTTGATCTTCCCAGTTACAAATGATGTGGTCACCTATGCAAAATGTAGAGCCAAAGGAAATCTCACCGCTCCAATTCCTTAGCCACCATCAGGTGCCGGTCCAATAGGTGCATCTCCACCTTAGAATGCAGCAGTATACGAACAGACCGCACTATCCAGAGAATTCCAATACTGCAGATTTTATTAAAATTCACAGCAAATCCAGTATATCAGTGAAAAAGTGTATAAAGCAGCAAATGCCAGCACTGCACACCCCCAACCAACTACAACCTCTCACATGTTTCACCCGAAGGCTTATTCATAGAGGTAACAAATACAGACCAGAATCTCACTTAAATGTGTTCAAAAAACTCCACCCTACACAATAACTTGATATTTCCAAAAAATTTCCCTTTTTGACAAAAGGGTAGCTCGATCTCCTCCTCTTAAAGGTGTATCAACTCTTTCTACAATCTATACCTTCATACTTTTAATATTACTATTATGATAGTGACAAAAATGTTTAGCTACATTAGTATTCTTATAGGTTCAAATATTGGATAAATGATCTCTCATGCGGTCACACAGTCGTCTTGTGGTCTTACCTATATACTGTTTGTGACAGATGGTACAAGAAATTATATATATAACAAATCGGGTCTGACAATTGACTAGCTGGTTCATTTTAAATGTTGTCCCATTTGAATAAGAAGTCACGAGATGATTATCACCCAAAATACTGCAGCTTGAACATCGGGCTGCATTACATCTGTATAGACCTGTTGTTCTTAACCAATTCATGCTGGGTCCTCTCTTACTTCTAAAAAGACTGGGGGAAATCATATTGCCTATAGTAGGTGCTTTCCTTGCTACAAAACATACACCTGTATCTAGTATATCTCTAAGATCTGTATCCCCATGAAGAATAGGTAAGTACCTCTTAACAATCTTTTTAACATCTTCAAATTGTTGACTATAACAAGAATACTAAGGGGGGATTCTTACCCTTCTCTTCTCCAGGGGTAACCCTCCTATCCCTAATTTTCCCTATCCTCTTGGGTACATCGCTAAGTACATTATATCTAGGAACATCACGTACACTTTCATATTCTGAACTTGCTAGGGATTGAGAGTAGCCCCTATCTAAGAGGCCTATTTCCAAGTCTTTGGACTCTTTAAAAAAGTTGTCTTTGTCTGAACAGTTTCGTTTCATGCGGGTAAATTGTCCCTTGGGTATAGCCCTTTTTAGATGACCTGAATGGCAACTAAGGTATTCCTGGAAATGGGTTTCCGAAAAGAACGGACCCATATGTTGCCTTCCTCTACCCTCCCTATCAAGATCAGATCCAAATAATTCATTTCTAAAATGTGTTCTTCTACAGTAAACTTCAGATTTAATCCATTGTTGTACACATATTGCAGCCATGATTCTACATTGAGATCCTGATCCACAATAAACACGAGATCATCAATATATCGAGCAAAAAAATGGATCTGATCACGAAATGGATTCTTATCTGCAAAGATGTTACGCTCTTCCCACCAACCCATGTATAGGTTGGCGTAGGTGGCCGCACATTTTGCGCCCATAGATGCGCCGCATCTCTGCAGATAATACTGGCCATCAAACATAAAAAAATGATGGGTCAGCAAGAAATAAACTGCTTCTCTAATGAAGTATTTCAAATCATCATCATAGTCAGAGTATTGATTTAAATTGTGCATCAAAGCTTCAATACCCAGGGTATGAGGGATACTTGAGTATAGAGAAGTGGCATCACATGTCATCCACTTCCACCCAGTCTTCCACTCACAGCCCTCCAATCGTTGAATACCTGTAACTAATGAGTGGCATTCTTCTCCTGTTTTGACATATCGGGCTGTAGATATGGTTGTAAAATATGTGTATATATATACTGTATATGTTCATGGCGATTAAGCTTTGTGTTTTATAGTACTGATATTTTGAGCTATTTGGGCGAGAAGAGCCACTCATTTGTTATAGTTTATTTAATTATGTATGTATTTATTTATTTGTTTTTACACTTGTACATTTGTATGTATTTTCAAGAGTTTGATATTTTATTTTATATATTTCACTTCTGTGCATCGTCTTACACCCCCACAGTTGACAGGGGGATTGCGGTTTGGTGAGATTGAGTTCAAACATCTGACTCCATTTGGTATGGAGATTACAACATGTATGATGGGATTGGTAGTTTTTGTGCTCTACTGACCCTTATACACCAGCCAGTTTAGAGTTAACCTATCCATCAGCGAGCATTGCTTCCTGCACGTGTGTAGGGTGGAGTTTTTTGAACACATTTAAGTGAGATTTTGGTCTGTATTTGTTACCTCTATGAATAAGCCTTCAGGTGAAACTTGTGAGAGGTTGTAGTTGGTTGGGGGTGTGCAGTGCTGGCATTTGTTGCTTTATACACTTTTTCACTGATATACTGGATTTGCTGTGAATTTTAATAAAATCTGCAGTATTGGAATTCTCTGGATAGTGCGGTCTGTTCGTATACTGCTGCATTCTAAGGTGGAGATGCACCTATTGGACCCGCACCTGATGGTGGCTAAGGAATTGGAGCAGTGAGATTTCCTTTGGCTCTACATTTTGCATAGTGACCACATAATTTGTAACTGGCAAGATCAAGAACTGATCACATTCTGGTTGTTTGGAACCAAATGACCAAAACTGTAGAAGCCATCTACCACTTTAGCATTGTTAGCTTCAGTATGTTACTGGCTCTTACATATACTGCCACTATCCAAAATGTTTTCATCCTTTCTTAAGTAAATGGTTTTCACTGCAGTTGGCTGATGGCTAGTGGTATGTTGCAGCTACCCACCCATTTTCTCTTTTGATATTGATCACATGACCTAAAAAACATTTTAACCATGACATACACATAAGAGCATACGTATTTTCCAGTATATATACTGTATATTTTTTATGATTCACAATCAGCATTTATTAGTCACATTTACTCATTGTTGAAGCCCAGTGAGCTAAACTGAAATGGAAAGTGCAACCAATTGGATTTCTCTTAACTGAAGTGTGATCACTATAAGATGCAGTCTAATTGGTTGCAGTAAGTTGCTGCATTTTACCCTTGGCCCCATTCCATTCTGAATTAATCTGACTTTTCAGAGTATGTTTCTAAAAGTACATCTTTTAAATAATATTGTACAGTGTATTGTAACATTTTTTTAAATACAATTATTTGTTCAAATGTGATTTGTTCTTTGCATCATTTGCTTTCATGTCTCACATCATTTGGGAACACAAATGGTACTTGCATGTCAAATCATGAGCATTAAAGGGCAACTATAATAGTTTGGGGGAATTTTATGTTTTTGTTTTTTTAAAGTTTACATATTTATGAGCTAATTTTTAATTCACTAGTCCATTGTTTTTATAGAATTATAATGTAATTGTCTTATTCACAACAGAGACTATTCCGTCTAGTAAACAAGCCTTCTAAAATCTTAAATAATAGTGTTGCTTGATGCACTTGCTGGCTGAAGTGATTCATATTTATGTTGATATTATTTTAAGATTATGTGATTAAAAAGAAATAATTATATATTTTCTAGTCCTGAAAGTGAAAAATAGGTAAGAAGTATGCTTAATAGTAAATTACTTTTAAAATTCATAAGTTGTCTTAAAGCACTTATGCTTAAAGCCTAACTCTAGGCAGGGTTACCGTCACTGGTTTTAAGCAGGGAGATATTCTATTTCATTTGAAGGACCTCACTGTCATGCAGGTACACTTCTATGTCTAGCAAATCAGTTAGTCTACATGCCAGAGGAAGTACAGTGGGAGCTACATTCCTGACTGCTGCAGTTGTAAGTGCTGAGCGTCTCATAGACCCCAATGCTATGGTCGCATCCCCATCCCTCACTTCTTCAGGCCATTCACAAAACAGAGCCTGGGACGATGTGTTTTGTGAAAGGTAAGGAGGAGAGGGGATTAAGATGTGACCATAGTGTTGAGGTCTATGAGACCTGTAGCTCTGACAGCCAGAGCTTCCAGGAAGTACAGCGGGATCTGTACTTCCACTGGCATGTAAATTAACTGATTTGCAGGCCATAGAAGTATTTCTGCATGACAGAAAAGTCTTCCCAAGGAAAAAGAATGTTTGCCTGCTGGAAACCTGTGAAGGTAATTCTGCCCCAAGTTGGGCTTTAATATGAGTTCCTTTTTTGCTACAATGTGAATTGTCAAGACCATTCAGTTACGTGATAGTTATTGATTATTCCAACACACAAATTTTTTCATTCGAGTGGATCTTCCATGACAATGTAAGATCTACTTAAATTACAGACATGCACCACCTGTATAAACAGTAAATAAACGTACATAAACAGTTGCAAAAACTACAGGGGTTTAAGGAACAAAATGTACTTATTTACTTTAAGGAGAATTATTGGGTGATTGATAAACACTCATCCCCATAATTCAACTCGGCCTGTGACGCTGAAGCTGTCACAGGTCGGCTCTATAGATTGGGAAGTCAGCAAACACATGATGCCGATCACTGACTTCCTGATCATCTCCCTGCAGAGAGTGGTGACATCGATACCCCACAAGGATTCCCCTCCTTCCCTCTCCGATCCTCCAGCGCTGACTGGAGAAACGGTTGGGGGAGGGGCTGGCACAACTGGCTCTGCCTCTAAATAGGCAGAGCCAGCTGTCAATTAGCCAGCTGGGTGGATCTCGACAGCATTGTCCGGTTCCATCCGTGCTACAGGGGTCTCAGTGTATAGTGGGCAATAGCTCGCTATAATACTGAGCTTTGGGTCACAGGAGAACAGTAGTATATGTCCTCGCATGACCCTGAAGAGAACTATAGGGGAAAAAGGTTACCCCATAGTTCTCTTAACTTGGAGCCAAGGCTTTGAGAGATGACTGATGTCACCATGCCTCAACACTACATCCTGAGAGAGCTGCTGGAAATCCTGTGGCACAGATGCACCAGTCCTTCAGACAAATTCCACAATTTTAAGGTTTGCTAGTGCAAGCCTAGGTTAATTTCTGCCATATAGAAAGGATATTAAGTATTGTAATTTCCTAGTGTTGACACTTCTAGATATCATTTTATCTTTAAAGAGTTGCTATTTACTGTAAATTTTAGTTATCTAATATTACAGTGAGCTGTTGAATCATTATAAATACATTGACAAAAAAAGGATCTTATTTAACTGACTATACTCTTTTTTGGTTCCTTTGTGTTATAGGCTGCTGCTGAATCTGCAGAAGCTCAGACGATTCGCTCTGTCCAACAAACACTGGCATCAACCAACCTCTCATCTTCTCTTCTCCTCAACTCTTCATTAGCTCAACATGCATCTGCCTCTGTGGCAGCCCAAAATCTACAGCAATCACTCCCAAGGGCGATTGCACCGAAACCTTTAAACATGAGACTACCATCTAGCCAGATTGTTACTTCAGTTAGCATTGCACCAAACATGCCATCAAACATGGGAACTCCTATAATGAGCTCCATGGGTGCACCTATGGTTGCCACTCCATCTTCTCAAGTCAGCCCCTCCCTGCAGAGCCAACAGCATCACCTCCAACAGTTGCAGCAGCAGCAGTTGCAACAAATGCAGCAACAGCAGCTTCACCAGCACCAAATGCACCAGCAGATCCAACAGCAAATGCAGCAGCAGCATTTTCAGCATCACATGCAACAGCAGCTTCAACAGCAACAACAGCAGCAGTTACAACATCAAATGCATCAGCAGTTGCAGCATATACATCTACAGCAGATACAGCAGCAACAGCAGATGCAACACATTCAACATCAGTCTCAAATGTCTCCTCAGCAGCAATCACCTGCTCCTTCCCAGCCCGGAGTACCTTCCCAAATAGCATCACCCATACCACATATCAATAGCCCTCCTCCTGCATCCCAGCACCACCAGCCATTGATACAGTCCCAGGCACAGACTCAAGTGCTATCCCAAGTCAGTATTTTTTAATTCTCCCGCGATCTCATCGCAGATATATTCATCTCTTTAAGAGAAGGTTTATAAGCTGTAAATTGTCTAAAAGTGTTATGCAAGAATGCGTAACGGACCAGGGGAAAATCTTAAATGTCTATTAGATAGGCAATAATGAACAATGGAACATGTATCATATTTTAGTATCTTCTTACCTAGTTCTCTGGAAACTAATGAAAGCTGCCCATTCTGTTTTTCATGTGGCTCCTTTTTAATTTATTGAATCTTTTCCTAAAATATGTGAATTGTTTGCTCTGAAAACCCCACAGGAAAATCACTAAGGACAACTATAAACAGTAGGAGTTGACTTCAGCATGCCATAAGATACTTTTGAAGGACCTCAGTGCGTTGCTAGCATTGGAAAGTCAACAAAGGCAAAACATGCAGCTGTAACTACCTGTAGAGTGATAATCATTCAAGTGCATTTGTATTACATATGTAGTTAATGGCATTTTTGTCATTTGATGTAAATTGCAAATATTTGCCAAAGTTCTTATTTTTTCCCTTTTTTATCTATACTAAATTAAGAAAAATCTATAATTAGCAACCAAAATGTAAGTTTCTGATACACTGTAACAGTATGTTGATTGGTTTGGTGTTTTGCCATGTTCATATAAATTTGAAAACAAATGTGAATATACCGTGCTTAAGTGACACTTTTCTTCTTAAAACAATGTATTTTTCAAAGGGAAATGCACTTAACAAATGGATATTCTAAGAGCTAAAGTTAACTAATGCTACAAGTACTGTATGATCAGTAAAATATTTAAAATTGTACCCTATGTAAGGTGTATATATTTTCTTTCGGAGTTGTATGTTTTGAAATAATTTGTTGAACAATGTTTTCATAAACAAGGCTTTAATGTAACACTGGTTACAGAACCATTAATTGCTACATCGCTTATTGTGTTTTTATGCTGTTTTATACTTTTTTATGAGTTCTGATAGCGGCAGTTAAGTTGTTTGTATTTTGCTTAACTGAAAAAAGAATGCTTTTATCTTGCAATAGAATAAAACATGATTCTGTAATAGATTGCATGATGCTTTTTTTTTAAATTATTTTTGCCATTTTTCAAAAAGATTTTTCTATGTACAAATTTGTTTTTCATTTTCATCTAAATGCCTTACAACTGATGGATCAGTCAAGGTATAGGTATGTGTATAATTTTGTCATATGTGCTCAAGATGGAAAAAAAATATATGAGAGGAGTTACTATTCAAGTTGTCCAGTCATTATTATGTCAGTTTTATAACTTTTTCGATGACTTTGAATGGCAGGCAAGTAAACATACTGCCTTTTAAAGAAACGACACTTATATGTAAAGCACCCCTTACATATGCTTTTGTATACATTATCTGTGCCTTTGTACTACATCTTCCAAAAAAATGAATTTCATGAAGAATTTACCAAACTTTGTGGAGTAGTAAGGCAACCAGAGTAGGTTGCTGCATGCCTTTATTGTTTTCCATGTAGTGCAGACACCATTCGTCGTTGCACATACACTCCTTCAACTGAGTAAACCCTGCAACAGCTCTGTTTTATAAGAGTTTTGTCCACACAAAGCTGTTCACAATGAGGATCTGTAGATATTGCAAACTGACTGCTCTTGCCAAGGAAGTGATGGGAAATGCCAAATTATAATTAGAGTTGTGACCAGAGCTGAGCGTAAACTTTCAAATAGGGACATTTGTTCTAATGATAACAGTCTGAGAAGAGAATTCCCCTAACTTTATTATACTTTCTGTTGCATATATTGGAATAGAATGAAGGAAAATGTCCTCAAATGGGACAGACAGACCAAAAAAAAATGACAGATCTTCCATGCTCTATCCCAAAAAAGATGGCTATACATGCACTTTTCAGGTGTCATTTCTTTGTACAACTGTTCACTATCTTCTGATAGCACCAGTGACTCAAGCAGTGGGTCTTATTTATTAAGACTAAAATACATCAAAAGGGTTGGTGTGGCAACTAGATCTTCATTACTATTTTTCTTCTCCAAGCCAGAAAACTAAATTAAAGATTTGTTACTGTTTTTTAAACAATGAAAAAGGTCACTGACTTACTATTTACATTTTGCATTTAAAAAGTTGGAAGACAAAAACAATCTCTTGATTGTATTTTGTTTATGAATTAGTGCATGCTGACAGATACTGTGATTTTCTGGTTTTGATATATACTGTAAATGCTTTGTGCATTCATAAGACATTAAAGGACAAGTCTACAAATTAAAAAGATCCTCCTAGCACCCCTCCCAATACACTAACTGTACCCCTCGTACAGGTCCTTACCACCTCCAATGGCTGCAGCCTCCTGCATTGTCTACAAACCAAGTGGGAAGAAATCTAGCTCCTGGCTGCAATGCATCCATGCACTAATGTCCCATAGACTTTAATAAGGACTTCCCCTGACAGCCCCACATTACATTCTTCATAGGCAGACTACAGCTACTGGGGGGGTGGTTAGAGGGGCTGGGTGGATTGTTTTTTTAAATTTGTGAACTTGTCCTTGAATTATGCAACCATTACAAACAAAATCTTGTGAAGCCTTTGAAACTACCTGGATTTCTGTGTTTATTGCTCCTAAATATAGTCTAATCTTTAACTGAGTCACAACAATAAACAGCCAATTTCTTAATTCAATTGTGAATTTATTGTCTCTCCTAAGAAAGTAAGCTGACCACACCCTGTGGAAACATAGCAGTCCCAAGCCATGATGCTCCATCCACCATGCTTTACAACTGGTATACATTGCTTTTTCTTTGTATCTATACACAGCCCCAGAGACATTGTTGTGCAATATCCAGGTGGTAAACTTAAATCTGAAATCTAGGCATATATAAAAGACAAATACATGCAGCTATGTAACCAATAATGCAGTATTAAACATGGTTTTAAAATGCAAGCAGTGTAAGTACCTGATTATGATCTGGTATTGGCCTCTTCTAGTCCCTGTACAGCAGGGCTCAACTGTGATAGAAAGCCCAAGGAGCCAATCAGTTCCTTGGCTGACAAGAAGCATGCTGAGGAAAAAGCAGAATAATCGAGAGATGAGCTCATAACTGTGCTGCTTCTCCTTTCTCTGGGGAAGAGCAATTAGAAGAGAGTTAGAGCATAATTTAAGCCTTGTTTTGCTGCCAGTGTCCTAAGATGTTACTGAGATTTTAATCCTCGTCCTGTCCAAAGTATTGCTAGTATCTGGTCCAGGAACTTTTCCCAAGCACAAAAAATTTGGTGTGGTCTGTTGTTCTTTTGGATGATTTGCTTCTGGTGATATGGCCTGATCAAGCCACTTTATTGTATGTGCATTTTTATTGTTCATACTCATTGGAGTAGTTTTATCTGTGTTATCCAGTGCATTCTGATTCTGCTTTAATTTTTGTATATATGTATGTGTGACCTTTGGATACATACAGAGCTTGCAACAAAATTCAGAGCTGTTTGACGCATAGGTATAGCCAAAACTTTTTGTTTTTTTTTTAGCTTTGAATAGAGGAGAGAAGAGACCCCTTTCAGTTTATTTTTACTGTCTGCGTCCTGTTGGGGAGATTTTACTTTACTTGCTGTTCCAGAGATCCAATGAATGTGAGAGGAAATCTTCCCAAAGTGAGCAGAATACTCCTCTTAGACAGTTGTTACTGGAACAGATGTCCTCACTACAAGATTTTCCATCACCTTTCATTATGGTGACAACTGTAAAATGTTGGATTCCCCATTACTGCCTGTCAGTGGTCATCAGATCAAATGTCCATCTTGGTTCTAATCTGTCTACACCCTATCAAAAACTAAAGATGTTTTGCCTTTTCATACATTTTAGAGCAAATATTTTAAACAAAATCTAAATAGATTATACCCTCTCTAAGGATCTATCTAAATATTGTTTGTTTACATTTTCATCTGTGCTGGTCCCACTATAGACACCATGCTGTCTCTTATGTAATGATAGCCTATGTATCACACTGCCAGCACAAAGTTTAGTGGAGCTGCTTCCTCAGTCAGACTCAATCCTACCATTAAAGTATGAATGTGATTGCGGATATATCAAGGAGGTACCACATGTGAGGAGCAGTCTGGAATCATATCTCAGGGATTACACAAAATGCACAAAGATAAGGGGAACCTTCATACCTAAAGTAAATCTATACTGTGAGCAATATAATAGCTGCCATTGATGCATTTTCATGCTGGAAAAGCCTGTTTGGTTGACTTCATGCTAATCCGATGGCCTCAATACAATGAACCACTGACCTGCATGTATAGAGATTCGGTGTTCTGCTTCCCTCTAATTTTCTCATTTGCATCCTTATTCTGGATCAGTGATTTTGAAAGTAGAGAAGACAGGGCAGCTTCATTATCGTTGATTAACCACTTCAAGACCCCCTTCCTGCCCAGGCCATTTTTCAGTATTCAGCGCTGTGGTACTTTGACTGAAGTTTATTCCATCATGCAACGCTGTACTGAAATTAATTTTATACCATTTTTTGGGGACAGATAGAGCTTTATTTTGGTGGTATTTAAACACCACTGGGGGTTTTATTTTTTACTATAATTAGGAAAAATGACAGAAAATTTTGAAAAAAATAAGTTTTTTTTACATTGTTAGGAAACATTTAATATTACCCAGTTTTTTGGTAAAATATAAAAGTCGGGGTCACTTTTTAAATTTTGGCCGTTTCCCGCTCGCGCATGCCCAGCGGCGCACGCGAGGGGGCGTGTCTGAGCGGACGTCTAAAGATGCCCGCTCAGATCTAGAGAGCTCAGGGGTGGCCGTTTTTTTACTACGGCCGGCCCGGAGGTGGTTAATGTTAAACTTTAGGCAAACAGTTAAATACATATATGTAATATTTGCCCAATGATTTCCTTTTTTTTCAGCCATTCTTGTGATTGACTAACCTTTGCCACACGGGGGTGCCAGGAGTGTAACACCTTTTATTTTCTAGTCCAGCTTTGCAGCTTCCTGTGTCAGCCGTTCTTCTCTGGCCTGCTTTTTGTCCAATTAATTAGTATTCTCTAATTTCTAATAAGCAGAGAGGCAAACCATAAAGCTTAACCAAGCAGTATGAGGTTGACATTCTTTGTTGTGTAGTGTATGGCAACAGAATGACAAATCCTTTGGCAGGTAAAATACAGTAGTTCATGTATATGTAGTTCAACTAGTATTAAGCTTATGGCCTGGAGATCGATGTTTATTTTGACCAACAGGACTAATGCATTTTTAGTTTCTTCCTTTAAACCACAGGGAAGAACAAAAATTAATTGCCAGATCCTTAACATTGAAAGTATTGTACAAATAATCTTTTATGTGACATGACAGATACCTGGTTCCTCAGGAATACAGCGGAGGGATAATGTCAAATCTGTTTTTTCTTGTTTACATTTCAGAACAAAATAGGTTCATTTATTGGTCTCTCAGTTTCTCTCTGTTCTCTTCCTGCTGTACTGTGAGTTTTACGGACACAATTCCCCAGTTGTCTTGCAAGATTAATTACAGCATCTGTCCTGTCACAAGCTATAATGAAGAGGTCTTGATAAAAATTGCAAATTACCTCTGGCAACAATCAAACTGCTTATGATAAAATGAAAATTAAAAACCGCAAACTAACGGGCCTGATCGGAATCCTAATTCCCAAACAATGATATTGTTAGAGATTGGTCCAAGAAGCAAACACAGTCAGCAATACCATCTGAATGCTGAATGGGCTGAGGGCCATTGCTGACCAGAATGCATGTGATTCAGTAGAGTATTAATAATACATTTTACATTTAATATTTTATGAACATCATCTTGTTATCTACAAGCTTTGAGTGACCTGGAATAGAAAAACTAGGTATTGGAAGATTTAGTTCAAGGAATCCTATTCCTTATTATAAATTTCATCATTATTGCTCAGTATATTGTTAGCACCAGTACTCTTCTAACCTACTGTTCCATGGTTCACTGGCAGCTCTTGGCCTTTTGCCATCAGTTTGTTATCACTCATTCATGCACATTTGAAAATAATTTTTTAAGCTTTCAGGAAATTATTTAATGTGACTCTGTCACTAGAAAAAGATTCTAA